TATGCATAAATGTAACTTATAATATTCTATATTTAAAACATAATATCATTGTATACTTATAATTTTAATACTATATGCATAAATGTTAGTTATAATATTTTATTTACAGTGTGCAAATGCACAGGTCGCATACTAGTTATTTTAAATTCACCTTTCTTTGTTTCTGAATTTGGATTTGGGCCTATTAATGTAGTTGGAAATTGGAATTGCAAAATTGTTCTAAATCAAATGCCCAATGATTGAAAAAAAGAAAATTTCGTACACTTTTTTTTTTTTTTTTTTGCATTTTAAATTGTTCATAATATTTTAATATATTTTAGATTGCAGTTTTCTGGTTGAAAATTATGGGACATGTGATAAGGGATTAACTCCAATTTCAATGAATGATTTGCTTCCAAATTATTATTTAAAAATTAAAATAATAAAATATTCTTTATTTTTTTCTGAAATATAAATTAAAATATAAGAAAATAAAATAAAATATGTTATCAACATTATTCAATATTGTCGGTTGTATCTATTATTGAACTACACACTATAAAATTAAAGATAAAAAAATTTTATAATTATATATTATACATATAAAATTATTTATTAATTAAACAAGGTTCGACCGGGTGTCCGACCAGTGAACCATTGAACCGATAGTTTCACCGGTTCAATGACCGATCCGGTTCTCAGAACATTGCTTATTAACCATCTAAGAAGTCGTTTTCTGTGCCATAGAGTTATATGTAGAGTCCAAATTTATGAAATTAAAGAATAAATCATATCAAGAAAAAGTGCCACAAATGTTAGTCTTAGTCTGTTTTGAAGCATTAAGCTGGTCGACTCGTTATATTTTCCAGGAAAAGACACACTTAAACTGTGAACATATGCCATCTTTCGCTATTTGTAGTTTCGTTTAAACATTTTAGTATGTGGATTTAATTAAAAAAAATATTGTCATCCAACCATTACTATATTTTAGCCCCAATGGAGTATATGTGCGTACCCTCGTTAGTGTAAAGAATTTGTGTTTACTAGATTGGATAATCCGCGAGCCAAGTACATGTTCGGGCTCGAACCTGCATTTTCCCAGCCCGTCTGTTGGCTAGGTCTATATGGATTTTGGTTCACGCATCTCTATTTATACACACTAAGCTAATAATCATTTTTTTTTTTTTTTTAGCCAACCACGGTATCTGGAGCTGTGCCTCGACTAACCCGTTGGTCGACCCGGATCGCACACCTGACAGTGGTGGGTGAGTCTCCCAACAAGGGTTTTTTGCATCCACAAGAACTCGAAACCGAGATATTGAGTTTTTTGTATTGAATTGTTATAAACTAAATATAAAATAAATAAAATTATGAAATTTTGGAGTATATATGGATATGCAATTTTGTTTATCCAGTCAGTTAATCTACTACAAGAATTTGTATTAGCTAATAATAATGTATTCATGAAAGTGCTGTAACAGTAACAGTAATACAAAATATTACACTTCAATCTCAGTCTAAACACATACAATCACACTGAGTTGTTATGATAATCTAATAATAAATAAATAAATGTATGACATTTTAGACTAGAATATGCATTTTTATTCATAAAATCAGCTAGTGATCAGTCTAATATACAAGAATTTGTATTAGTTAATAATGTATTCATGAAGTGATGTAACTCTCTAGTCTTTGGCATATAATCAAATGGCAATGCAAATTGATAGATAAATATGATTTATTAATTCAATAAAATGCATTTCATGTATATATCTCTATAGGAGGACCTGCATATATACTGCCCAACAGTTCAATTCAGGCCATATATATATATTACGGGAAATGCTACGGTACCATTACGGAATCATTCTGTCGAGGTTTGTAATCGTTAGATCAACTATCCCCGACGGTTACATGATGATCTAACCGTTACAAACCCCCGACGGAATGGTTCCGTAACGTGACCATAACATCTCCCATTATTACACACAAATTAACCACCCAAACACTAGTTATAATGTTGTATATAACATAGAGTTCCTAGTTTCTACATGGTTCTGAAAATTAAAACCACTAAAACTCATGAAACCTTAAAACCCATTAAACCAAGAAAAGACATACCAAAGTAGCCATCACTAAAACTCATGAAACCTTGAAACCATTCACATATAATATCTTGTAACTATACAAAACATTAAACTTCAATTAATCCCAGTCTAAACAAATACAGTCAATCAAAGTTTTCATCAGTTCCCAAATTTTTGGGAGCCAGCTAACTAGCTAGCTATACACCATTTTCATCAAAATACAGACACTTCACACAATCTACAGACATATAACAAACTTGCAAAACAAAAAAAAAAATACAATGACTAATTATCACACATTTCACACAATATATCTTCTATTTATGGTCTATATACTATATATGATGAAACCCGAAAAGTATCCTTCAAAGCCCTAACCTCAAATCCAAAGCCCGGCCCGAATAACAAACATCATCATCATCGTCATCATGAACCGGGGCAGCCACATTCAAATCGAACCCGAAAACCCTAGAAATCGGTTCATCGATCTTCTCCCAATGGCACCTCATGTGACCTCCCAAAGCCTGCCCGCTCGAGAAAACCCTAAAACAGATGCTGCATTTGTGCCCATGAACGATTATTTGATCATTGTCGACCGAGCAGCAGCCCTCAATGAAATCCTGGCCGTCAATGCTGTTCTTATTGGTATTTGCAAAGCAGCCCTTGACGTTCTTGTGGGTTGCACGGTGGCCCCCGAGCGCCTGGTGGGAACTGAACACTTTCTTGCAACAGGAGCACTCGAAGGTCGCCGGCGGGCCCAGGTCGTCGGAATAGTGCTCCGGAGACAGGTGGGGGACGGGCGGCGCTCCGGCCAGCATCAGGAGGGGGGCGGGCGGCGCTCCGGCCAGCATCAGGAGGCACGCGGCGATCTCGTTGTCCTCCTCCTCCTCGTCTTCCTCCTTGGAGGAGGAGTTTCCGCCGCCGTCGGCGGCGGCGGAGGAGGGGGTTTCGGGTCGGCGGAGACAAGGCGGGGGGTCGATGCCCCGCCAGCGGCGCTCGGGGTGGCAGCGCATGTGGCCGAAGAGGGCCTTCCAGGACCAGAACTTGCGGCCGCACTCGGAGCAGGGTCGGGTGATCTTGGGGGCGGACGGGTCGGGCTTCCGGGAGGGTTTGGGTGGGTTCGGGTCGGGGTTTCTGGGG